CGGCGAAGGGAGGGAGGAAGGGAGGGAGGAGGAGGAGGAGGAGGAGGAAGAAGAAGAAGAGTTTGCCCGGACCTGCCTTTCCGTCCCATTAAGCCCGAGCCCCGTGTTAAACGGGCGCGTCACGAAAGCTAGGAGGCTAATTAATGGCAAGGCATTTTCCCAGTCAGGATGCGGCGCTAATTGCTTCGACGGCCTTTCCGATTCCACGCGCTTTAAAAATGAAGAGCGAGCCAAGAGCAAGCGGGCGAACAAGACAAGACCCGGAGCCGGGCTGACCCGAGAGCCGCCTGCGGACGTGGCTGGTCCGGGGGAAATGAAGCGGCGGCCGGCTGAAGGCGGAGCAGAAAATGACTAGAAAGAGGCGAGAGAATGAATAGGCCGGGCCAGGCATTCAGGGGGGAAAAATCCATTTTGTCACCACGCGAAATGAGGTGGTGGAGAGAGAGAGAGAGAGAGAGAGAGAGAGAGAAAGGACTGGGCTAATTGTCCTCCTCTTGTAGCGAGCCGAGCCGAGGCAGGGGCGTGCTTTGCCATTCATTTCCCGGGTAATTGTGAAGCGGTGGCCAAATGAGCGAGCCTGCAATCTTGCGTGCCTAAGCTTTTCACAGCCATGTTGCGATTTTAATTGTTGCTAATATGGTTTATAATGAAGCTAATGAGGGGAAATCATTGGACAACTTTGGAGCGCATGGAGACGAGCGGAAGGCATCGCCAGGATTTCTCTTGTCTGTCGCGGCGCGCGCGCACAGGCACGCACCCCCAGAAAGGACACGCTTTGCTGCTGCTGCTTTTTTCCCCCCGAAAAATAAAATACTGTAAAAGCAGAGCCCGGAGGAGGTTGGAACCGGGTCCATTTTCTCCCCTTTTCATCTCCGAAGAGAGAAGAACAGAACTCCTGTTTGGTTTGGTTTTCAGAGTGGAGGGGCGAAAAGCAAGACAAGGAGACGGATTGTGCTCTTGAAAACTCGTCCCTAGTTAAGTAAAACAATAATCTCCCATCCTCTGGCTCCGAAACCAGATACCCCAACCGCTAAATGGTCATGGAAAACAGCCTTGCTTGAGCAGCGCATTGAAGAGATTTCAGGATGTTTTGTCAAGTGGAAGGAATTCGAAATATATTTAAAAATATAAAGAAGAAGTATCTGTAACGTGTATCAGGATGATTTTTGGAATCTGGCTTTTCCTATAGTAATTTTAATAGTATCCTTCATGAAGCTTCACTAGTTCATTAGATAACTTGGTGAAAAATGAGACAAGGTATGTGTTGTTAAGGAATTATCTCTAGCTTAAAACCAGTAGAGTGTGAAAGCTTGGGTATTCCTTTTGAGATGAATTTTAGAATGAATTGTGTTTTTAAATTGACTTCATTTTGTCATTCTACTTACCAGGTTCAAGCATAAGTCTTAATAACTCAGTGGTTCTAATTTCTGGGGGGGATGTATGTAAAACTGGTTGGTTGTGATATCTTGATATCTGAAGTAGAATTTAAATACCACTGAATGAGTATTTCTCAGTGTATCCCAAAAGATTAGGATTAATTACAATATAGATTAAGAAGTACAGTACTGTCTCCCCATCCAAAAAACAATCCTGCAACCTCGTGCACATCTGCTCAACAGTAAGATCCACCGTATTCAGTAGGGCTTAAGTTCCTTGTGAGTGCTTATAATCCTGCAGCCATAGTTTGTTGTCAATGCTTAGTTTAAATTTTGTGAGCTGGTGGTGTTTACTACTACTGTGATTGAAACATTTGATTGTTGCTATTTTTTAAATAAAAATCCACTGGTTTCTTTTTTTAAAAAAAAATTTGTAGTTGTAACTAAATATACTTAAGTGCTGCTGTTTTTTGTGTGTTTTTTTGGTACAGAAAAACAAGCTACAACTTTTGCCCCACCATGCGCAGGAAAAGGAAGATACTGCCAAATTTATCATATTGACCCTCCTTTCTATTGCCTGCATTTTTGGAGTGCTTGTGGCTTCTGGGGTCATCTATTGCCTTCGCCACAGCTCCCACCACAAACTGAAGGAGAAGCTGACCAGCCTGGGCTCTGAGACAAGCTCTGATGCTACAGCTGCTTATCAGGTAAGAGACTGGTTTCTCCACTGCACTGGCTCTTTATTCTTTTTTTCCCCCTTTTTCTTTTTTGGATACTTAAACCATTATTTATTGTTTTACACAGGAGAGAGTGTGCTGCTTTTATTTATTTATAGCCAAGATAGGATATTTTTCCCCCACCTTTAAACAACGCCTTAGTTGGAGTTCCTCCATTAATATTCCCTTGATAGAGTGTAGCAGCTTTTTATTGCTGGTTATTAATCTTGGCTATTCTTGTAGCTCGCTGTAAATGTGCCTCTAATTAGAAACGTTAAAAGAAGCCGTTGTCAATTCAGTTCCTCCAAGAAAAACATAACACTAATATCTAGAATATGTCACTGAAGTGTAGATATTAAAAACAATTGTTGCAATTTATGAGGCATGGATCATGTAGTTATCAGAAGGCGTTCCTCTCTCTGAATCATTGACTTCTTGGAGGTCTGATATGAAAAGAACCTTTGACCTGCGCCGTTGACAGTTTCTCCCATTATTTAGATAAATTGGAAAATAAGGCCAATAAATTCATAGAAGTTGGGGGAGTTAAAAGCAGACCTGTTTTATTTCAGAGAACAGTGGCAGCAGATGTATGCCAAAGAACATTGTGGACTAATCTTTTGCTATAGATATATTTAAAAATGAAGAGTAAAATGTGTGATGTTTTAAAAATGGACTAGCAGCTTCTTTCTCAGGCAGTACATATCATTTGTCGCTTGAATGAAAATGTGATATATATATTACACTGAATAGTTTATGCAATTGACTACATCTTGGAGTTAGTGAACACCACTAGAAACACTTTTTAGTTACATTGTACTGTTATTATTCTGAGTGTTGTGTTGTTTGAAGACCAAACATACTTCTTTCCATACCCAGTATACACAATATGGTACCTCAAAGATATAGATCACTTCTCTTTTTTCTTGTCATCTTTGTACTGACAGTACTTTTCTTCTTAAGGAAGGAAAAACAGCCCATTCTAAATGAATTTTTTTTTATCAAAAATGGTGGATTCAAACATGCGGCAAGTTATTAACAAGAGCTTTTAACTTGAGTTCTAACCATCAGGAAAAAGGCTTTGCCGTGAAAGTAGCAATGCAGAAAGAGCACCTTGTCAAAGAAAAGTGGAAGTGCAGGGAGAGTTTTTAAGGCAGTGTCGATCCATTTGTTGACACCAACAAACTAAGTGTGTGAGAAACAAGCTGCTAGACTAGTATTTGCAGCTAAACCTTATTTAGGCTAATTCAGCTTTGAACGGTAAATGGTAACAGGTCTTTACATTTTGTTAATGCATTTGAATTTAGCAATCTCAGAGAAATCATACGTATTTGTGATAAGCAAGAAGACAATCCTACCTATGATGGTTCTAATTAATAATATCTGTAATTAAAATCATGTTCTTCTGGCAGAAAAATTGTTTAAATTTCTGGGAATGACCTTTTCGCCATTTCTCTTGGGGCGCACTGGTTAAGTTGATATTGATTTTATAATGAGCTCTGGTTTGTTTAATAGAAATCTGTAATCCAGATGCTAAATGAAATTTAAGCTTCATTTCTTTTATTTCCACTTATGTCCCTTTTAAAAGAAAAAGGTAAAATCAGAAATAACAGTTAATGGTATATGGTTAGATTTGCCTTTTTAGGTATCACAATCTCAGTGGTCCAGTCTTATGCATGCCTACTCATTGAGTCCACTGAGTTCAGTTAGGTTTATTCGAGGTAAGTAAGTGTAGAATTATAGCCTAAATCTAATTTTGAAGAGTCCAGAGTTCTCACCCACCTAACCTCAATTGATGCTTGCTAGAACAGCTGTGATAATATTAAACTTCAGATGGTTTGAATTAATATATAGCTTTTGTTGGAAGGCTTGATCTTGTGTTCTTGATGTCAACATGCATCTGCCTTTATTCAGTTGGAACAAAAACACAATGTAAGATTGTAACCAAGCAACAAAAGATTGTATGCCTGTTTCCTTTTTCACTAGGTAATATAGGTTTTCTGTTACCTGGAAAAATTGGTAGCAAGGTCCTGTAAGATGAAGCATGGTAAATAATGAATTCCTATGAACTAAGTAATGTGATTATTTTGCCCCTTTTAGAGATGTTTTCCTCTTTAGAGATGCTTTATCTCATCAAAACAAGTCTAGAACAGGACTGTGTGTTCAAATAGCCATAGGGAGATCATTCAAAACATTTTCATAATTGGAAGTTTGGATTAATGAGTGTGCTGTATAGCGAGGCTCTCTTGGCCTGGGGCTATATGGGTGGCTTTGCATAATGGGGTTTCCACCATATTGAGGGGGGAAAGTGCTGGCAGGGTAATCATTCTCTGATTTTGCCTGAGGTTATTGAAGCCAAGATATAGGAGAGAGTGGCAAAAATCCTAAAATCAACCCTCCGTTTTCTAGTCTTTGCCGCAGTCTTAAATTTACTGAAGAATAGGTCTCATTGCACTTTGTGAGACTTACATCTGAGTACACTTGCATATAATATTAATCTAAAATTGGGGAGGTGTGTTTGTATGCCTCTGCTGATAGAATAACAGCAGACATTTGCTTACGTGTTTAATCCATATTTTCCATATGATGTGAATAAGTTTAGGGAATTCAGTATGTGAGTTTAATTGGCAAGAACAGTCTGTTCTATAAACATTTTTCAGGGTTTAAGAACACCCCCTCTTATCTATCTGTACCCCTAAATCCAGCCTGAAGATTCCGGTCAGGATGTTTATCTATGAATATTAGGCTGATGTGCACTGTGATTGAATTGTATGGTTCTAATTGTTGCATCGGGGCAATGAGAAGAAACAACCATTTTTAGTGAATGGATGCTTGCAGTGCTGTTGTCCCAAGACTGTGTTTTAGGGGGGAAAATGCCACTCCTCTTGAAGTTAGTGGTAAAACAGTAACGGACTTCAGCATGTACACGGCCTCATCAAGAGCTTTTGTAATAACCATGCTGTGCACGTAGCCCATAGTTGTTGAAGCATAATGAGTGTTATGAAACATAAATCTACTGTGCACCAATTGGTAGCTGGTCTCCCCCCCCCCCAGCAGAAGTATTTCATATACGTATGGTGTGCTTGATCCAGTTCCTTTTGGCAAACAGGGTGCAAAGCATTTAAGACTTCATTAATAATAAATTAAAGAAACCAAATCTGTCAACCATCAAAGAACCTTTCAAGTTGTCGCCCGCTGCAATATAAAATGGCAGAGTTACATAACACTTTGAACATTTAGAATTATATTTATGGAATGAAGAGCTGGCAGGTATAGTTGGTTTGTGGGTTTTTTTTATTTTGATTTTATTTTTTGTTTGAATTTAGAAAAATGCATGTATGTCTGTTTCAGAAAAGCTATTCCTTAATTTAACAAATGGCTATTTCTGTAGTCCGTATGGAATACAGTGGAATGTGAACAATCACATATACATTGAATGCAGTACATGCATGGACACACACCATCTATTTTCATGTCTATTTTAATACGTTGGCATTCTTACTTAATTGCATGTGAAACAATCATTTTAAATCAGTGACAGAATCAAGAGGTTTTTTATTTCTTTTGCCACAATCTTACATTCTTCACAAATGAATAAGAATAAGAAAAAGAAAAAGCTCTTGATTGGAATTATTCATTTGTTGGTCACTGTAGATAGAATCAGTTTCATATTCAATTGTGTGAGCTCCTTGTTATCTTGTGATATTTGTGACCAAAGCAGTAAAGAAGTCCTTGGCCGATGCTTTCCACTTTCCAAGACTGAACTGGTTTTCTTGCATGCTCTAAAGCTTCTACTGCATAAACCAAGGGTTATGAAGGAGGGGAAGCACTGATTGCAAGGGAGGCTAGTGTGTAAACATTGTCATTTAGTGGGTATTTTCATTGTCACTGGTGCCACCAACTGCCGATTTATTAATGGCAAGCATGCATTGATGGTTGCTGCTCTTTGGAGATGTTTCACTGGTTCTGTTCCAAGAGACCTTTTTGTGATTCTGACTGTGCTTTGGCTTTTGACCCTTACATGGCACAGTGCTATACTGGGCAAAATGATGCCAAGTCACCTTGCTCACATAGTATTTTCGAATTAAAGAACATTAGTAGTGAACATAATCTCTTAGGTCACTAGTAGTTGTCAGTAAAACAGTATGCAGGTAATGGAATTAATCTTCATGGGACAATAGAAGGCTCAACCCAGTAAACTTCCTCTCTCTTTTTTTTAACATCAATTTTTAGGAGAAAGAAATGTACTTCTGTATGTGAGAAAATTGTGTGCAAGGGAATAAAAATGTGAATTCTCTCAAAGCATCATGCTAAAATAGTTACTTCTTTGTACTTCCAGAGATCTGAGTTCAAGGTTTTCACTTCAGTTAGGAGCTTATGAAATTAAGGTTCCTTTCAGAACCTCAGATTAATGGCAGTGCCTCCTTTGCTTTTAAATCCAGCATTGTTAGATTCTGAAGCATTAGGCACCATTAATTCAAGGTGAGCTCTCCCCTGACTCGAAATAACCTGTAAAATTTTATGTATTTTGTGCTGTCTTCAGTGCATATGAAATCTCTCTTGAGTTTTAACAGCCTGTCATTTTTTCATATTTTGTTCAGTGCAGTTCAGATTATCTTTGACAAAAAGTTTTTTGAATGCTCCATCCAAGGGCAGTTTGTTGAGTTTTCTACATATAGTTTTGGCTCTTGTGTCATCTTGCCCTATACTGTATGTTTCTGCATATGCAATACATGTCAGCTCTACGTTTCTGCCTATAGCTTATTGAATGTGTCTATAAAAACAGAGCACATTTGTATACCTTTTGGATGATACTTAGCATCAGTGTGCTCTAAAATGGGACAGAAACAATTTTGTGATACAGTGGAATCTAATAAATGATACACTTAGCATCATTTTGCAGTTGCATCAGATCATAAGACAAGTTCAAATAGCATCTCCAGAGAAGGCTAACAACAGCATCTGACAAGCTGGGATATTCACAGTGCTTAGCA